GGTAGTAAAGTCATAGACAGGCACAGACCATTTCGTCAGTCCCACTGCCCGAGTTTAAATATCATCTCTTGTATTACCTTAAACAAATTACTGCTATGAGTCACATTTGTTTATATTTTTCTTTTCGGAAGGAAGGAGGGGAAAGGAGCAAGATAATGCGCATAAAGAGTTTATTATTAGCACAGTGTTGGCTCATGCTAGCACGGGATAAATGTGAACTATTATTACTGAAAAGAGTAATTTCTTAGCTGATGTAAAATACAGTTGTATTAACCTACTGGACACTCAATCTACGATGAACGGATCTGTTTCCTTCTTAAAAATAAATTATATGCCAGGACTTTTCAAGTCAATGGTGTCTGTGCCAGAGCCACCCCAAACCTACTTCCAGAAATGAATCTTGGGTCTGTTGTATGGAATTCCCCTCAGCCCATCTCTGTGTGGAGGTTAAGTGATTTTCATTTCGATATGTGTCTTTGTCAGACTCCTCCATTTTCATACCGTCCCCTCCCCCATGATAAAGCATGCCTGCTAAAAATATGGCTCTGTGATTAACCAACAGCATAAAACATAGATGTATTAAAAAAAAAAAAAAAAAAAAAAAGCTGGTCAGGAAGCACAAACTCTAACCCCACTGCTGATAAATTCTTAACAAAAGCTCCATTGAGAGAAACAAGATATTTAAGGAAGGTAACCTGAGGAATGTTTGATCCTTATCTACTTATCTAGATAATCTAAAATAGGTTCTTAAATTAAATCAGTCTAGATATGTAAGTACTCAGATCACATTATTTTGTCAGCACTGAAACTGCTTTTACTGAATAGTTTTGAGATTATGTCATCAACCTACACAAGGAAACATGAGGAATTTTACTAAAAAACAAAGTAATAAAAAAAATTTTTAATTAAAAAATAGGATGTAGTTGAAATTCTCAACAGGAGCCTTTGGGAATGCTAAGGAAGAAATTATTGTTTTCTCTCTTGTTGTCACTGAACCATAAATGATTACGCAGGGTTAGGCAAAAGTAGGTTTACAATTGTTCGTATGAAAAATAATATGTAGCAATGCACTAATAAACTGTTTTGCATACTCACAATTGTAAACCTATTTTTTTTAAATATATTTTATTGATTTTTTACAGAGAGGAAGGGAGAGAGATAAAGAGCTAGAAACGTCGACTAGCTGCCTCTGGCACACCCCCAACTGGGGATGTGCCCGCAACCAACGCACATGCCCCTGACCGGAATCGAACTTTGGACCTCTCAGTCATCAGACAGACACTCTACCACTGAGCCAAACCGGTTTTGGCTGTAAACCTATTTTTGCTCCACCCTGTATTTCTCTCTGAACTGGCTACTAAAAATCAGAATTAAATTTGTGATCCTCTAAGGTTCAGGCCATATAGTTTGTATTCAGATCTTATTCCTGTTTCCATCTTAAGTTTTCTCCCTTAGTCCTGAATTCATCACCCCTGATTTTTGTATGTTACCAACAATATGTTGTATGTACCTTTGTAAGTCATTATGAGTCCATTCTGGAACAAGATGGGAGATAAGTAAATATGCTCCTCTTAAAAAACAATAAAATATTCTCTTCCATTAACAAGCATTGTATAAATTTAATTTCTAAAGGCATTACCTTTTTTGTGCTCCAAAAGAAAAAAAAAATGTTTTTGCAAATATTATATCTAAAATTAGGAAATTCTAACAACGGAGGAACTACAAAAATAAAACACTTTCATTATGTATTTTTAACTTTGGGGCACACAGAAAATTATAAATATATCCCTGTGTAAAAATCCCCCGTCATTTTTTTTACTTTAAAATATAAACCAAATTGCCCAGCCAGCGTGGCTCAGTGGTTGAGCATCGACCTATGAACTAGGAGGTCACAGTTCAATTCCTAGTCAAGGCACATGCCCGGATTCCATGCTCAATCATTAGCGTTTCTCTCTCTCTCTCAATCACTGGTGTTTCTCTCTCTCTCTCTCTCTCTCTCTCTCTCTCTCTCTCTCTCTCTCTCTCTCAATCATTGGTGTTTCTCTCTCCCTCTCAACAGTAAAATATATACATACATATATATATATATATATTTATATATATATATATATATATATATTTTTTTTTTTTTTTTTTTTTTTAAAGAGCAAGCAAATACAGACCAAATCGCCACAAATGTAATTACAAAATTTATTCTGAATGGGAACTGACTAGACTTGCTTCAGAAATGATTCACAAATTTTTTTTTATAACTCTTGAGTTGCCCTGTGCCTAGCATAAAGGATGCTGCCAACCATTCCTTAATGTGAGACAGCACAGAATTTAGAGGCCTAAAGGCTCTGGCTAAGAGCCTGCTTCAGAGATGTCAGCAATCTGTTTGCTGTTATTTAAAGAAAATAAACAGCTTAAGACTCTCTTAATGTGGCCCTGGCTGGTGTGGCTCAGTGATAAAGCATTGGCCTCAAAGAATCGTGGGTTCAAATTCGGGGTCAAGGGCACATACCTGGGTTGCACGTTCCTTCCCTGTTCCCAGTCAGGGCATGCGGAGGCAATCAATTGATGTATCTCTCTCACATGGATGTTTCTCTTTTTCTCCCCACCGCCCCTCTCTTTTTCTTCCCCTTCCTCTCTTCCACTCTCTCTAAAAATCAATAGGAAATATAAGCTCAGGTGAGAATCAACAACAAAAAGACTTTCTTAGTGTGTAAAAATTTACCCATTCATGAACTCATACTTGTCATTCTGATAACCTCTGACTCACATATGTATCTAATTAGTTAATTATAATTACAGTTCTTCGGCTACCAGAAACATGAAAAAATATTATATACAATAAAAATTAAAGTATTTATTCTGAATGGGAACTGACTAGACTTGCTAGTCAACAATTTTCTACCCCAACAGCAACTTTCATCAAAAACAGGAATCTCACCCTGACCAGTTTGGCCCAGTGGATAGAGCGCCAGCCTGTGGACTGAAAGGTCCCAGGTTCAATTCCGGTCAAGGGCATGTACCTTGGTTGCGGGCACCCCAGTAGGTGTGTAGGAGGCAGCTGATTAATGTTTCTCTCTCACCGATGTTTCTAACTATCCCTCTTTCTTCCTCTCTAAAAATCAATAAAAATATATTTAAAAAAACAAACAAACAAACAAACAAACAGGAATCTCATTGAGTAATCTGAAAGCAGCACCATAAATGCAGCCTTTTCTGTAAGCATTTTAGCCTTACCCAAATATCAAACAGATTAAATGAGTTACATAATATTAAGTAGGATAAAAATAAGGCAATTGTTGTTTATCCTGTTTTTTTCAACAATAGTCTAGCTTATATCAAAATATTTGTCATATGAAACAATAAGTCTCTATAATGCTTTATGAAAGAAATGAGCATTAATAAGACTTTCAAAATGTTTGATCTCTATTGTGAAACTTATTTTAGTGTGATGACTTTATGTATGTGTTAAGAAGCCACTTAATAGCATTTCTGTTCTGAGTCACAGAATAGACAGGTGTTATTATTACACAGGTATTGCCTACCTTTTAGGAATGGGTAATCTCTGCCAGAGATGTTTCCTTTGCAACCAATAAAAGACACATGCCAATAATTAAACTCACACTGTCAAGACTGAAATGCTATGTCTCTAGCCAAAGACTGACACAGTAAATCAAATAGGGTCTTAGTTCTTCTGTATGTAGATATTAAAGTAAGTTAAGTACTAGAAGAAACTTTTTTTTTTAAATAAAGTATCGACTGAATTTTTTTTTCCAATGAAAAATATCAGAAAGCAGTGAATTCTCATCAAGTTAGCAGGTAGTCATGTAGCATTTGTGAATGCCCAACTTGGATTAGAATGCTAAGAGGTAAAAGCAGAATTCCTGTTTACAGAAATTTAAAAATTAGCAGGCACAGTCACTCATATACAAAGAAACAACTATTAAATAAATATACAAATGTAAGCATTTAATGAGCAGAAAAGACAGCACATAAGCAAACACTATCGGGCACAATCCTCATCAACCATATAGCAGCCTATGTGTTAAGATCTACATAAAACTCCTTTTTAACCTCACTATAATCCTCCCTAAATCCCTTCCCTGGTTCTGTTATCATCAGATAAAAGGCCCCGTTCCAGCATCTCTGTCCCTATCTGCCCTGCACTTTTTGACTTTTCAAAGACCACCTCCAGGTAGTTATTGGCCTCTTCTCCATTAGTTGCTCCACCCCCACATCCCCACCTACCCCTAAAATCCCCACACCACTTTGTCAGCCTGAATGGGACTCACTCTTCATGGTACTCCGGAAAAGGTATTCCCTGTTCTCCACCCTCCACATCTGCAGTCTCTCGGGATGAGGGGGGCCACTTAGGGTGCTCTATCTTAACTCACACTACTTACCCCTTGTATGCAAAGTATCTTTTCTCTCTCTCTTTCTTTCCTCTCCTCCCCCTCCTCCCTCCCTCCTAAACTGGCTAAGTTCTAGAGAGAAGAAACGTGATTGCTTCCAAGGTCAGTAAAAAATCCTGAACACTTCTCATTATTCGATATAAGAACCAGTAACTTAAGTGAACGTTATACAATCAGATCTTGTACCTCTGCAAGCTTTCTTGACACAACTATTTTAATTAATAGACTTTAAGTAGTTTTAGGTTTACAGAAAAGCAGCACAATTATAATAGTTTTCATCTCAAAATCCTAAACAACTCTTCAGCTCAAAAAAAAAAAAAAAAAAAAGGAAGGAAGGAAAGACGGAAAGAAAGAAGGAAGGGGGGGAAAAGGGAAGGAAAGAAGAAAGAAAACAGTCACGACTTCCCAGGTGATGCTGTAAACACGTACTGTCAAATTCCCACATTTACTCCCGAGGAGCCCACCGCCGCCCACTGACACATTCCCCAGCCACCGGCCGAGACACCACCCCGCGATCTATGACCCACATCCTAAAGCGGCCGGTCCCGCCCTCCCTCCCTCCCTCCTTCTCTACTAAACTTCCGCGACGGGCATCACCTCTGCTCTGCTGCTCCCAGGCGGCTTGGAAGCTGGGACTCCTGCTCCTGACCCGGGGTCCCCGGCCGCAGGGCCACAGTTAGGACCCGTCTTCAAGTCCCCGCGCCACGAGCGCCAGCCCCTCCCCGCTCCGGGACGCGTCCCTCCCCGAGAACGCCGCCCGGGGAGCCCGGCGCCCGGCCAAGGCCAGCCCGCCTGCGAGGCGGGGCCGAGCTCTCCATCCAGAAAAGTGCCCCAGGGTCCCGGGACAGGACCCGGCGGGCCGCCACGACAGGTGTCCCTTCGGGCTCCGCCGCCTGGACAGTGCGGAGGGCGCCGGCCGGCCGGAGGGGAGCCATCCCGCCGGGGAAGACCGGCGGCAGGAGGCGGCCAGGAAATAAGCGTCTGCCCGGCAGAGCGGGGTTGGTTGGGCCGCGGAGAACTTGGAGACCAGAGCCTGACACGGGTAGACTGAGCACCGAGACGATTACGAAGGGGGACGGGCCAGGGGCCCCGGGTTGGGACGGACGAGGACCGGAGGCTCCGAACCGGCCCCGGCCGAGTGCACCGCACGGACGGACAAACGACGCCGCGGCTCCAGCCCGGACGGCGCGCCGCCCCGCTGCCCGGCGCTGGGAGCAGCGCTGTCCTCGGCCCCCCTTCCGTCAGCTCCGTACCTCGTCTGCGGATCCCCCGGCGTCGAGACCGCCGCTCTCCCCGCGTCGATCCAGTGGGTCCCGGCCCCGCCAGTCCACAACCCGCCCTCACACCGGCCCACCCTCCCGCAGGCACCGCCCCCGGCGCCGCGAGCGCGCGTCACGCACGCACGCACAGACGTCACTTCCGGGGCCCGGGACTCGCGGTGGGAGGATGCTCCTGCTAGTTCCCATGGGACCTGCGCTGCGGGGAGCGAGGCCCGGGCCGGGTGTCCGTGCACCAAGGGGGCGCGGCCTGGAGGCTCGCTCTGGAGCGCCGGCCTGGAGCGTTCGGGAGCCGGCGCAGAAGCCGGCCTTACTCTGTCTTTTCCTCCATCCTGGCTTTTGGGATCCGACTGTCCCGCCCTGAGCGTGGAATAGGAGGCGGGACAGGAGTCACTGGATCAGAAGACTGATGCCATCCCATAGGACATGAGGCCGCCTGAAAAACGAAGGGATCCCATCCCTTCACGGACCTTAGGATGTTAAAAGTGTTCTTAAAAGAGATTGGTTGATCCAGAAGCCGTTTTTTAATCCCTGAGCATAAGTGAAATTAAAAGTGAAGTAAGTTATCCAGTTATCACACAGTATTAATGGTTGAGTCACAGATGGATTCCAGTCCTGGTGATTCCCACTTCAGGAATGTTGTGTTACAGTTGATCTTAGCCGAAAAGGCCAGAAGCGATAGGAATGTTAAACAACAACAACGACAAAAGCACATAATAAAACTCAAAGCCCTGACAAGGTAACTCAGTTGGTTGGAGCATCGTCCCTTTCACCAAAAGATGACAAGTTTGATTCCTGGTCAGGGTACATATCTAGGTTGTGGGTTTGATAGTCAGGGGGCACATGAGAGACAGTAGATGGATGTTGCTCTCGCTCTCCCTAGAAATCAATGAGGGTGAGGGTTAAAAACAATTTCTGGAGATCTAATTGGCTTTATTAAGTCATTCATGAATAGGACAGCATCCCATCTAGTATCTAGAAGGGCGCTTTGAGGGGTTGTACAAAATGAAGGATTTTATAAGAAGAAGGGTGGAGCAAGGAAGCCATTAACAACAACAACAACAACAACAAAAGAAAAAAAAGGAAAGAAAGAAACGATTATTTTTGGACCTGGACATCTTTTCTTTAGAGGAAGAAAATAGGAAGGGTTTTGTTTGTTTTTAAATAGTTTTTATTGATATCAGAGAGGGGGAGATAGAAACATCAATCATGGGAGAGAATCATTGATTGGCTGCCTCCTGCACACTCCCTACTAGGGATTGAGCCCTCAACCTGGGCGGGTGCCCTTGTCCAGAATTGAACTTGGGACCATTCAGTCTGCAGGCCAATGCTCTATCCACTGAAATATTTATTCAAGGGTCTTAGGGTTTGCAAATGGAAAACACAGGAAGGCAATATCTAGTGTTTTGCAAAGGAAAGAAAAACTACGAGTTCTTGTAACAAAAGTTCATTATTGAGAAGTGCTGGAGGCAGTTAGACAGACATGAGCAGAGCAAGCATGATGGGCCAGATACAGAGGTCACCAGGTGGAAAGTCCCAGGTGCCCAACAAAGGTCAATCATAGGTCCCCAGGGTGACTTTTCCTTCCCTAGCATATTGTAGGTCAAGAGGTTTGGACCCCTGGGCCTTTCCTTCCTAGAGATAACATCTAGACCTCAAGTTGTTTTTTAGCTTCAGGCTCAGATAAGCAACAAAACCAGCCATGGCTGACATCAGACCAGCTGCAAGGACTAATGACCTCCTGTCCTGGTCCCTACCAATCAATCTGTGGAGACCACAACCCTAAAAAAACATATCTGAAAAACTGCTGAATATATATTTTTTAAATATATTTTATTTATTTACTTTTTTTATTTATATTTTTTTATAGAGAGCAAGAGAGAGAGATAGAGAGTTAGAAACATTGATGAGAGAGAACCATCAATCAGCTGCCTCTTGCACACCCCCTCCTGAGGATGTGCCGGCAACAAAGGTACATGCCCTTAACCGGAATCGACCTGGGACTCTTTAGTCTGCAGGCCTACGCTCTATCCACTGAACCAAACCGGTTTTGGCACTGCTGAATTTTATTCAGATCTACCCCTGGAACCTCCCCTAAAATCTCCCCTCAAAAAATCCCTTAGGAAGGAAGACCCAGTGCAATCTCCCTCCTGGGATCATGCTCACGCCTTCCCCTTTCTCATCCACTTCCCCCTCTCTCCCCCTCTCCCCCTCCAGGCCTCAGGCAAGTTACCAACTGCTTCCTCCCAAGGTCCAAGGGCCCTTCCTTTACCTCTAGAAGTTTGCTAAGTCCATTTCTCTCTCTCTCTTTTTTTTAAAATATATTTTATTGATTTTTTACAGAGAGAAAGAGAGAGGGATAGAGAGTTAGAAACATTGATGAGAGAGAATCATCCATCAGCTGCCTCTTGCACACCCCCCACTGGGGATATGCCCGCAACCAAGGTACATGCCCTTGACCAGAATCGAATCTGGGACCTTTCAGTCTGCAGACCGACGCTCTATCCACTGAGCCAAACCGGTTTTGGCTGCTAAGTCCATTTCTCCTAGGAATTACTTTTCTACCTCTGTAATTTACTCAATAAATGTTTTCTCTTACAGTTTGGGTCTTGCTCTGAATTCTTTCCTAGCCAAAACCCAAGTACCCAACGATGTGGCTGAAACAAGGGATCGGGAGAACCCAACCCCTAAAAAGATAGAATAATCAAGTGAGGAAGCTGAGGGTTAGGAACCAATGACCAGTACTGCCTATACACCATAGAAATCCTGGAGCACAATTGAGTATCTGTAAAGCCTTCCACCTAAGAAACATCCTTGAATCATGCAGATACCTTGGTGGACTTATTTTATCTGGGAGTTCCACCTCTGATCTTAAATCCTCAAATTCAGGTTATCCCTCAGGTGCTGCTGCCATAAAGGGATCCGGATTTCCATCCTAGCAGGGAAGGGCACTGGCAAGGGTTCAAAGTCAGGTAGTAAACTCCACCCCAGTGGAATTCTCGGGGCTAAAGGCCCAGCTAATGGAAATGGTGGGCTATTCCTGCAGGTGACTAGAGATGCCTCAGTGTTTTGTGTCTTTGGACCAATGGGAGTTTCCAAATAGAGCTGCACTTCGCAGAATAATATTAAGCAATGGGGTAGAACATTCTCTGAATATGCCTAGGGGCAGATACATCCTGCCTTGACTTATGGGCGTGCCAAGTGAATAACGCCACCCTCATTTCAGCTACTACGGTAGTGATGTGGTGGGCTCACAAGGGAAGTTCATATTTTTGTTAGGCACCTCTCGGTGAACTCCATTTTCAGGTAAAGCATTTTGACTCCTCCCTCTGGAATAGAGGAGGGTGAAGCTAACTTCTCTGCTCGTGGGGTCCTGTGGCATCCTCTGCTGCTGCTGTGGAGGTGGACACAGAGCTTAGAGAGGGGCCACAAAACGCTCTCCAAATCCTAGCAGGCCAGATGAGAAAGCTGCAATGGAAAGCTAGGGACCTCAGTGCAAACAAGCACTTATCTGCCTGAGAAGAAGAGGGCAGCCCTGGGCACAGCATCACTGCCATGGCTGGCTAGCAGATGCCAATGAGGCATGGCCAGAAGTGGCCAACCACCTACAAAATGCCGTAGACAGGCCACTCATGAGCAGAGGGAGTGAAACTGACATAGTAAGGGGAGGGAAAGTAAGCACCCAAAACATGTGCACACATGTGAGCCCTTGGGCAGACAGAATAAGCCAAGGTACAGCTAGTGATCAGGATGTAATGCTGAGAAACACACTAATGAAGGCATTTATGGAAGTTGACACATACTTAAGCCTTCTCATTACACCCTCCCACTCCCTCTACAAAAAAAAAATTATATATATATAATATATATATATAATATATATTATATTATATATATATATATTATATATATATATATATATATATATATATATATATATATATATATATATATTATTGATTTCAGAGAGGAAGGGAGAGGAAGAGAGAGAAACATCAAATAATGAGAATCATTGATTGGCTGCCTCCTGCATCTCCCCTACTGGGGATCAAGCCCGAAACCCAGGTATGTGCCTTGACCGAAATTGAACCTGGGACCTTTCAGTTCACAGGCTGACATTCTATCCACCGAGCCAAACTAGCTAGGGTGGGGGTTCTATTTCTTGATTTAAGTAATAACTGAGAGAATTATGGAAACATCTGTTCCAAAGATCTACTGGAGCCAGGCCATCTGCCGAGGTCCCATGATATAGGAAAACATCAGGGTCTGTAGTACATTAGCATCCTCTAAAAGTCATGGTTCGTTAAAGCGTGAATCAGGTTTTTGCGGAGATCACAGAAGGCTGGAAAATATGCATCAGAATCTGATTATAGGCCCTTTGTATGAAATGCTTTTGCATGATTTAAGGTGGTTTCATTCAGTCTTTCT